TTCTTTTAGTATTTGTTTATATATTTATTTATACATTTTTCTGTTTATTTCCCAGGGTTCAGTCTGTCTGGGTCTCGTTCCTTTCAGCTGTTTTCAGAGTTTGACTCGTGATGTTTTGTTGTTTGTCAGCAGCAGGCAGACCGGGGCAGCAGGAAGCGGTACCTGCCCTCAGACAAAGACCAGCCTGGTTCTCCTGCCAGTAAGAGGATGGCCATGTCACCTGACAGAGGTGAGGGACACACCTGAGCAGCACCACTGATCCATTCAACAAACACCATCTTTACTACAGTTACCATGCCTCCTGCTGTCAACGTGTTGAGTCCATAGAAAGAATCAGGTTGTGTTTGTTTACAGCAGCTGAAGTGTTATTTCCATCAGTAAGCATCAAATGGTGGGTGTTTTTCAGGACGGGATAAAAGGATTCCTGGCCGACCCCCACAGTCCCCTCAGATGGATCGGTCCAGAGGGCAGGGATCTCGCCCGGCGCCGCTCCCTGGTGACAGGTTGGTGCTGTTTGTTGTGCTTCAGGCAGCTGGAAGTTTGGACTTTCTGGACTCAGCCGTGGTTCCTTGTTGGTCTTGGTTGAAGTTGAATGAAGCCTTCAGGGTTTTCAGAGCTGAAGTGTAATTCTCATCGGCCACAAAGAGGAACTCACTAAAGTGGAAGCATTCTCATATTAAACTGTTACTCAGGCAAAAATATTCACTGTTCAGTGCAGAAAAAGTCCCAGAATTAAATAGATCCTTTTTTAATAAATCAAATTTTTACAGCCTTAGAGCTCTAAGAAAACCAGAACCTAAAATAATTACTTATTCAAAAATGTTTAATGTGGAGTGGAGAAGTCAGAGTTTTGAGTCATTGTTTCACCTCCTTCTGACATTTATCTTTGAAACGTTGTCATGTTCTTATCTCTGACAAAAACATTTAATTATAAGAAGAAGAATCTTGTCAGCATCATTTAACCTTTTTAAACCTGTCACAAAACGTGGACCGCCTTTCCCTTGTATGTTCGACAGACCCCTTCACTGTCCGTCTTTAAAACTCAACTAAAAACTTGTTTTTTTTTTTCTCACTGGCCTTCAACCCAGCTGAGATCTGTGTGGTTTTATTGTGTTTTTATGTTGTGTTTTATTTCATGTGTTCAGCACTTTGTTTCAGCTGTGGCTGATGTTAAAGTGCTTTGTAAAGTTTAATGATGATGACTAGGTAATATTAGATAACATTACTTAATATTAGTTAACATTACTTAATATTAGTTAACATTACTTAATATTAGTTAACATTAAATGGCATTGGTTAGCATTAATTAACTTTGGTTAGCATTAATTAACTTTGGTTAGCATTAATTAACTTTGTTAGCATTAATTACCATGGGTTAGCATTAATTAACTTTGTTAGCATTAATTAACTTTGGTTAGCATTAATTACCATGGGTTAGCATTAATTACCATGGGTTAGCATTAATTATCATGGGTTAGCATTAATTATCATGGGTTAGCATTAGTTAACATTAGTAAATAGCATTAATTATCATGGGTTAGCATTAGTTAATATTGGTTAACATTAGTTAATAGCATGAATTAGCATTGTTTAGCAGTATTTAATACTGTTAGCATTAGTGGGTTAACGATGCTAACAGTAAAACTGGTGATATACTCGTCTAAGTAGAGCTTCCTCTTCCTTTTTCTCCTCTCCCTGACATCCTGTTGTTGGTTTGCAGCAGTTAAACTTCACCTCTAACCTCTGTTTATTTTAGGAAACGTCCTTTGTCTCCGCCTCCCAAGTCATCTGGGAAAGGCCCGGCAGTACCATCGAGCAGACCCACGGCTCCTGCCCCGCCTCCGGCTGCCGGCTCTGGTAAACCCAGCAACACGCTGTCCCGCCGTGAGGAGCTGCTGAAGCAGCTGAAGGCCGTGGAGGACGCCATCGCACGGAAACGAGCAAAGATTCCCGCCAAATAAAGCGTGGGTGGAGCTGCCCGTCGGCCGGCCCGCCCACTCGCTTCAGTGCTGCGCGGTGAGGGCGGTCCTGAGGATGGAAGGATGAAACGTTTGTTCTTTTTATTTTTCTCCCATCAGCCCTCTGTGGAGCAGGAAACATGTTCCATGAACACGCAGCAGCTGCCAGGAGAAGCTTCCTGTTGGTTTGAGACAAACAAGAAGAAGATGGTGGACAGATGTGCTCCGTCAGAGGACATGACCCTGACCTTTGACCTTTCAGAGTCTGGGACGGACTGGACCGTGTGAAGGCAGAGCTGCACTGGAACTCCTGTCTGTCTGTTTATCGTCTCCTGTTGGATCTGCTGCAGCACTTCATCGTTCTCTAAGGTTTGTCCCCTCCGGACCGGACCGGACCGGACCGGGCCAAGTCCAGGTGGTGTTTGGTGTTTCAGGACACTTTGTACAGAGACAGCTCATCAGATTCCTTCCTGTGTCGGATCATTTACAGCAGTGATGTGAGCTGTTATCAATCCTTTTTTATTCTTTTCGTTTAGTTCATCCTTCAGCGATGAAGCAGTTTTATTTCACTTTTAGTTGGACAGGTGGACCGGGACATTCAGAGACAAGCGTCCTGCTTTTGTGACAAAAAACTTCTAAATAAACTATTTTGATAAAGATTACCTGTGTGTGATTTGTTGTGTCTTCAGGAGGACGTGTCTAACTGGACATGTCTCCTGTCTCCGTCCACATGTCCCCTGTCAGGTCCTGCATCACTTCCTGTCTTCAGAGAGTTGAAGACAGGAAGTGATGCAGCTCAGAGAGGAAAACAAGGAATTTATTTTCATAAAACTTAAAAAGTTTAACTTTCAAAACCAGGACCAGTTTTTCTGACGTTTAAAACCTGACCAGGACAGATCCAGGGACAGGACCTGACCAGGACAGATCCAGAGACAGGACCTGACCAGGACAGATCCAGGGACAGGACCTGACCAGGACAGATCCAGAGACAGGACCTGACCAGGACAGATCCAGGGACAGGACCTGACCAGGACAGATCCAGAGACAGGACCTGACCAGGACAGATCCAGTGACAGGATCTGATGAGGACAGGACCTGACCAGGACAGATCCAGGGACAGGACCTGACCAGGACAGATCCAGAGACAGGACCTGACCAGGACAGATCCAGGGACAGGACTTGACCAGGACAGATCCAGGGTCAGGACCTGACCAGGACAGATCCAGGGACAGGACTTGACCAGGACAGATCCAGGGTCAGGACCTGACCAGGACAGATCCAGGGACAGGACTTGACCAGGACAGATCCAGGGTCAGGACCTGACCAGGACAGATCCAGGGACAGGACTTGACCAG